CCCAGTTCCATATAATGGTGGCCCGGCTTAAACAGCAGGTTAGTTTCCAGGTAATGATGTTAAAACAACCCAGTTCCATATAATGGTGGGCCCCGCTAAACAGCAGGTTAGTTTCCGGGTAATGATGTTAAAACAACCTAGTTCCATATAATGGTGGGCCCCGCTTAAACAGCAGGTTAGTTTCCGGGGTAATGATGTTAAAACAACCTAGTTCCATATAATGGTGGGCCCTGCTTAAACAGCAGGTTAGTTTCCGGGGTAATGATGTTAAAACAACCTAGTTCCATATAATGGTGGGCCCCGCTTAAACAGCAGGTTAGTTTCCGGGGTAATGATGTTAAAACAACCTAGTTCCATATAATGGTGGGCCCTGCTTAAACAGCAGGTTAGTTTCCGGGGTAATGATGTTAAAACAACCTAGTTCCATAAAAATGGTGGGCCCCGCTTAAACAGCAGGTTAGTTTCCGGGTAATGATGTTAAAACAACCTAGTTCCATAAAAATGGTGGGCCCTGCTTAAACAGCAGGTTAGTTTCCAGGGTAATGATGTTAAAACAACCTAGTTCCATATAATGGTGGGCCCCGCTTAAACAGCAGGTTAGTTTCCGGGGTAATGATGTTAAAACAACCTAGTTCCATATAATGGTGGGCCCTGCTTAAACAGCAGGTTAGTTTCCGGGGTAATGATGTTAAAAAACAACCTAGTTCCATATAATGGTGGGCCCTGCTTAAACAGCAGGTTAGTTTCTGGGGTAATGATGTTAAAACAACCTAGTTCCATATAATGGTGGGCCCTGCTTAAACAGCAGGTTAGTTTCCGGGGTAATGATGTTAAAACAACCTAGTTCCATATAATGGTGGGCCCTGCTTAAACAGCAGGTTAGTTTCCGGGGTAATGATGTTAAAACAACCTAGTTCCATATAATGGTGGGCCCTGCTTAAACAGCAGGTTAGCTTCTGGGGTAATGATGTTAAAACAACCCAGATCCATATAATGGTGGGCCCTGCTTAAACAGCAGGTTAGTTTCCGGGGTAATGATGTTAAAAACAAATTTGATGAAAAATGAAACATAGCAGCTTTCACTTTTAAATGCATATAAAAGCCTGATAACATGTTTACAATATCATATATTAAGTGAACAATACAGCTAGGTCTAAAAAAAACATATACATTCTCTCCTCACTTAGCAACATACACGTTTACTAATGCCTCGGACTTATGATGGGCTATCTGACCAGTGTGGATACCTAAATAATGTATATTAGAGCTGATTTCCTCTTATTCTTTTATTTCAATAACAGTACATTATTGTATAAACAGTTAAAAATATACCAGATATGTTATAAATGGTGCAAAGATGGTTGACACAAACTCACTACTATTATAGTATGATCCTCACTTAGCGACGAATTTGTTTAACAACGTGGTCTCAGGAACGGAACTCTGTTGTTAAGTGAGGAGAGGCTGTACAGTACACACAATACTTACCTTAAAATACTTTTTGTCCTTAGCTTATAATGAGTGGTAAATATATTTATTGTATGAAATCTGAATAAATAAAGAATTAGTATAATTGAAAACTGCTGCATTTATGAAATGTCATAAAGCAAAGTGCTGTAAAGTGGGGCCTGCCTGTACTATATGGTGCTACAGTGTAATAACATTAACCACACATTGATCAGAAATATGTTATGACTTTGCAAAGAAATTATTTGTTATGTTAGTAAATTTTTTCATGGAACTCAATGAGTAACATTGATTTCTTAACATTTATTGTTTGGTATGCATAAGACAAAAGTAGAGCAGGCCACTTCAGCATTAAATGCTTGTCAGCCTCCTGGATGAGGTCTAACAAACTTACACTAAACATTGACAAAACCTACTTCATTCAGTTTGGTAACAGAGCTACAGATGTCCCTCTTAACATAATGATAAACGGATCACCTATCACAAAACTAACAGAGGGAAAATTCTTAGGAATCCACCTTGATAATAGACTCAAATTTCATACACATATACAACAAATTTCTAAGAAAATTTCCAAGACTGTAGGCATACTATTGAAGATACGGTACTATGTTCCACAGTCAGCCCTCCTGGCCCTATATCACTCTCTTATTTACCCCTATCTCACCTATGGAATTTGTGCATGGGGCTCAACAACAATTAACCATCTCAGACCACTAATTACTCAACAAAAGGCTGCAGTTAGAATGATAACAAATTCTCACTACAGGCAGCACACTCCCAATATTCAATGCACTAAACCTACTCACCATATAAAACATCCATACTTATTACTGCACCTATTACATACATAGAACACTTAACTCTGATATTAACCCTCCCCTCAAACATCTCCTTGCCAACCTCAACAGAACGCATGACCATAACACAAGGCACAGATCACTCTTTGATGTTCCTCGTGTCCATCTCACACTATGCAAAAACTCAATGCACATAAAAGGCCCTAAAATCTGGAATTCATTACCTGTAAATATAAAAGAAACACTACCTGTTTATAAATTCAAGTCTCTTCTCAAAGACCACTTACTCACCCAAAACCAAATAAATACTGAATAACTGAACCTTATAAATTGTATATCTTAAATGTTTCTCACAATTATATCACATAAATGTTAAACCTAAAACCGAATTTAACTTTATTATTTTTTAAATACACTACCTAACTGAATGCAACCATATGACCTGTCTTTGTAATACTCACTTGTGCTTTATAGTAATCTGTTTACATTAATGTTTTATCACTGATTTCATCATTGCTTAGTTAATCTTAAGTTAATTTTAAGCCAGCCCGTAATGCTATGCATAGTATAAGTGGCTTTGGCATACTGCTCTTATCTGTATTTTTTTGTACCTCTGTATGTGTGCTTAAATTGGAAATAAATAAATAAATAAATAAATTGAATTTAAAGTTTGGCTATGTTTTTTTCTGCATGTACACGATTCTCCTCCTGAAGGGAGAAACAAGATGACCATTGCAAGACACTTCCTAGATTACTGTGAGAAAGCCAATAAAAGAATTTATGCCAGCAATTGGTGTGGCTTACACATTCATTCTAGGCTCCTCTACATAACAACTGACTGGGTAAATATTGAAGTTATTGTTCATTAAAACTGTAAAAGAATTTCAGTGCAGACAGATTAGACTTTCAAGATTACATTATCTTGTTGCATATACATACTCCATTTTGTATGTCTATTTATGTCACCTGGAGACAAGTACAATCGAACGTAGATCTACGTTCAGAGTGCTATGCGAGCGAACGTACTCTACGTTCAATGCTACGCGAGCGAACGTAGATCTACTTTGGACATTTTTAAGGGTTAAATATTATATAGTAGGATATGCGGGGAAAACAGAAATTATAATTTAAATTATTCAAATTTTGGGGAAGAAAAATGGTTAACCCGAAAACGTCCAAACGTTTTAATACATTTTTACCGTTATTTCCCCAAACGATATATACTTTTTTATGTGTCCCTTTAACATTGCCACGATAAGCCTGATCGCCAACTGTGAGAAGGGTTGAGACTCACTGTGCACCATTTAAAATAATGGGGTGCCTGGGTACCATATCCTTTTTTTTTTAAAAAAAACAACAATTTTTTTTTTTTCCTCCAAAAAATTGGGGCAGTACGGTAGTGAACATGTATAATTTGGACCGTTTCAGGTTAAGGATTGAACATACAAACTTCCGGAACAAAAAAGTTAGAAATGTTTAGGTTCAAAAAAAAAAACAAAGAAAGCATTTTGCTTCTAAAACAAGCCAAAATAAATAAGTAGGCCATTTAATTTGGACAAATCAAAAAATTTGTGCCAGTTTTCCTAAAAAAGCCCCAACCATTTTTCCCTGTTGTTTAAAAGGCTCCCAGATTCCAAGTTTGGGCCGGGACAAGGAAGGGTGACATTATACAAACCCAGTTAATTTAAAGGGTTAAAGCATTATTCTCAGAGGAATGGATTTTTCTAAATTAAATAAACTAGGGAGTATTTTTTATTTGCATCAATTTGCCGAAATTTATCACACAAGTTTAAGGAAAAAATTTCAGCAGTCTTTTTTGGTGGAATACGGTTGAATTGTCGCTTTTTTAAACAGTTTTGCCGCTAAAAAGGGTGTGGTATACAATTATGAAGGTTATTTTCCCTAATTTTGCTAGGGGATTTTTTGAGAAATTTCCTCTTGCCTTTAAGGTATATCTTGAGGGGAAGGATCTTGTGTTTTTTAATCATGCTTTACAGCGGGGTGATAGTTTTTAGCAACCCAAAAAAACTTGATAGTAGTTCCCACCCAGAACTTATTAATGCATGTAAGGAAGTTTTCTCCACCCACCAGTAGTTAAAAATTTCAAAAGTTTAACTGCATTTTTCACCTCATAACCCCAATTTTTTAATAACCTTAATTCTCCGTACATCCCCCGGGAAAAGTTTTAAGTCAGCTGTCACAGGTCCAGGGAACAGGGAAACATGTAGGAAAGCCCATTTCCCCAGGACAAGGACCCCAGCCTATGAAAAGGGGGCGGGGGGCTCTTTAACCTTATTACTGTACAATTACAATAAACAGGACACCTGCAGCCATATTACAAAAAAATGCTTACGACCAGCTGCACAGATTTTGATAATTTTGTGAAAAAAAAAAATAACGGGTTTTTTAATTTTTGTAGTTGCTAGGGGATAATGGTTCTCATGAAAGATCGTTTTTAGCAATTTTTCATTTTAATGCATTCGACCCATTGCAGGAACAGAAACATTTTATGTTGACCTCCCCTTTGGGGATTTTACCCAAAACAAAAATTTTTTTTTTACGAGGAATTCCACAGGGCCTCATAAATCTAATGAAAAGTCCCTGCTCATCCTTTCCTTTCGGGGTTAGCAGAAACATTTTATGTTAAGGGGGCACGATGATTCTGTCCTTAGGTCATACTACAAGGACAAAAATGACACTCTTTTTTTTGAAAAAGCCAATGAAAAAAAAGCCCACCAAGTTTGAGGGTGGGGGGACCCTTGTGAAAAAACAAGTCGGTCGAAGGTGGTTCCAATTGTTTGTTTTTCAAATTTTTTTGTTTTTTGTATCATCGAAATATTGTCCAATACAAGGAACCCTTTTGCTTACAATTTAATCCATTCAGGGGCCCTTGTTCGTACCTATTTGTTCATAGCGGATTAATTTCCTCATTTAAATTTAATTAAAATGCCATTAATTTTTTCCCATGGGAATTCCTGCTGTCGGGAGGCATACAAAATAGTACTTTAGTATAAAGCTTTCGGGTTATTTATTTATCACAATTCATCTAATATGACATAATAAAAATTTTAACAACATAGAAACATGATATATACTCTAGAATGAATAAAAAAGGCCAAAATGTGGCAAGTGATGGCAACACGGCAGGGGCAAAAGCACCCACCATTTCTCTCCCCCACTCTAGACTTCCCGTCCATAACCCCACACCTAGCTTGCATTTATCTGTGATTAGTGGTGAGGCTTTTATGAATTAACCACGGGTGTAGCAAGACAGATGTAAAATATGGGTAGACGTGACACTGTGGCCACGGGGGTTGGTGGCGGCCAGTGGTGGTGGTGGCTTTCACTGCCTCACTCTCTGCTACTGCCTCTTTTCTGCGCTGCCTCCGCCCCCTGTTGCTTCTTAAACCCCGCTGGCCTCACTCTCTGCTGCTGCTTCACACACGGGCGCTGCCTAAACTCTGCGTTGCCTCACTCTCTCGCTGCCGCCTCACTCTGCGCTTTTCACTCTCTGCTGCGCCTCCCCTTTTGCCTGCTTCACCCTGCTGCTGCCTCACTCTCTGCGCTGCCTCACCGCTGCTGCTTCACCTCTCTGCTCCCTCACTCTGCTGCTGCTTAAACTCTGCTGCTGCTGCCTTCTCTCTGCTGCTCCCTCATCCTGCGCTCCCCTCACTCTGCTGCTGCTTTCTCTCTCTGCCTCCTCACTCTCTGCTGCTGCCCATCCTGCTGCTGCCCACTCTGCTGCGCTTTCACTCTCTGCTGCTGCCCCCCTGCTGCTGTTGCCTCACTCTTAAGATAAGAAAAAGAAAGATTTCGTTTGGATTTTTAAACCCCGGGGTTAGCCACCCAATAACCCAAGAAAGCAGTGCTCATCGAGGACTTCTAATCTTTTTTTGGGTCCCATCTTGTCCCCCAGGTTTAAACCCACACCGGTCACTAACCCCCAGTACCTTTTTTGCTGCAGGTGAACAGGGCAACAGGTTTGGGAAAAACGTTCAGCATGTTTCCCCCCGCCGGAATCAAACCCAAAAGGCCCCCCCGTGTGCAAAGGGGGACTTTGGGCCACCGGCCACGGGCTGCTCCACCCCCGGGGGGTAAACATTTCACCGTTTCCTTACCCCTGTTGTCCTGTTCACCTAGCAGCAAATATACCTGGGTTAGTCGACTGGTGGGGGTCCACCGGGGGGACAAGTTTAAAGGACCCCAAGGGAATAAGTTAGACAGTCCTCAACGCACTGACTTTCTTGGGGTTACCTGGGGGCAAACCCCTCCGGGGTTAAAAAATCCAACGAAACTTATCTTATCTTACTTATCTCACTCTGCTGCTGCCTCCTCTGCTGCTGCTCACTCTCTGCTGCTCCCCTCCCCGCTGCCTGCACTCGCGCTGCTGCCTATCGCTCTGTTTCACTCTCTGCTCTGTTTTCTTCTTTTTCTCTACCTCTTTTTCAAATTCTAATTGTTTTCCTGAGCTTTTGCTGATTGTATGTGAATACTGCTTTTCAGGCGGGCATTGTGTAAGAAATTTGTTGGGTTAAACAAAAAATTTTCACCCCAAAGGGATCTGCACGGTCAAGAGAGCGACATACATGTACCTTTTTTTCCCTTTAAGACCCTTTGGCCCCAAGATAGCCGGGTCTCGCAGTAGCTACAGCCCCCCAAAAGGGTTTCCCTTGGGTTGCACCGAGATAGCCATGCTCAAGTACTACAGCCACCCATAGGGTTTCCTTTGGGTGGCACCGACATAGTCAGGTCTCACAGTACTACACCCCCAAGGGTTACCTGGTTTGGCACCGGAAACCCGGGTCTCACATAGCACGCCACCCACGGGTTACCTTGGTTGGCACCAAAGATATCGGGGTCTCACAGTAGCACAGCCACACATAGGTTCCCTTTGGGTTTGACCCCCGAATAGCCGTGTCTCCAGTAGCTACACCACCCATGGGGTTACCCTTGGGGGCACAAGATACCATGGTCTCACAGTACCAAGCCACACATACAGTTACCTTGGTTTGGCACCCCGAAAGCCGGGGCCCTCGCATAGCTCAGCCACTCATGGGGTTCCCTTGGGTTTTGGCACCGAGACATTGGGGTCTCACAGTACCTCACCCCACACAAGGGTTACCTTGGGTTGGGCACCAGATGCCTGGTCCACATAGCTACAGCCACACTGGGGTTTCCCAAATTTTGTTTTTTGAAGCTTTTGGCCTAAATATAAAAAAAATTACGAAAAAAAAAAAAAATTTTACAACAATTATTATTACTATTAAGTTTTATTATTATTATAGTTATTTTTATTATTATTATTATTAATTATTATTATATTATTATTATTTTTATTATTATTATTTATTATTATTATTAAATTTTTAAGGGAAACTGAAGCACAGATTCTTTTCCCCTAATCAAGACCCCTTCACCAGTACGTGCTACTACTACTATTAATAATAATATATTGACAGAAACTAGTTGTACAATAATTATAGTAGTTGGGTGTACACTTAAAAGGGGGGCAAGCTTAAAATTAATTAAAAATTAACAGGCAATGAAGGTTTTGTGGTAAAAATTCCCAACAATAATAATAATAATAATAAAAAATAAATAATAAAACAATATAACATAATAATAGTAAAAGTGGCTTTCTTTGTTCCAATTTATTTGTATGTAAACTTTGTCATGTTAGTAGGTTGGAAAGACAGCAACCGCCCAGGGAGGTACTACCGCTTGCCAAGTAGTGAAAAAACGAAAGCCTGTAATTGTTTTAAAAATGCTAGGATTGCTGGCCCTTTTTTTTCTGTCTCTACTCAAATTTCAGTACTCTTGCTACTCTACTTCACTTGGGTCA